CACCGCCTTCACGTAACTTCCATATTTCGTCCTATCGGTAAAACACCTGTTCATTCCCCTTCAAAACCTTCTTAGAAACCTCAAAAATAAAAAAATAAAAAAAAACAAAAAAAAAAAAAAACTCGCCAATTGAATTCTGCTACAAGGCATGTTCAAATTTAATTCGTCGTGTACTGGTGTCGGACTCTTTACTTACGTTCCTTGTTTTTTCTTTGGATCTCCACTCTCCACTTTGTAACACTGTATTCTTGTTATATTTTTCGCACTTCGTGTTTTTAGGGGTATTTTACCTTTTCATGGTTTTGTTTATATCTCCAATGTTTCGTTGTTTTTGTGTCGTTTTTCCTAATCTTTCCGTTGTGTCTGGTATTTTCATGGTTTTGTGTTTTTTTTTCCTAATATCGCCATAAATGGTGTGACTGTTTCCTGCTTTTTGTGTTCTTTTTCCTCATGTCGCCATTAATGGGGTGAGTGTTTCCGGCTTTATTACGACAACAACCGGGTGGGGTGGGAAAGGGGATGAGAATTATTTGCTTATCCCTTTTTCCCACTTTTCTGTGTGGGATTTTTGTACCTCTTAGTTCGGATTAAACCCAATTGATGTTAATTGTAGTGTTTTCCTTTTTGCCCAAAATCTTAACCAATTATTTGTGTTTATGGATTGTTACAATTTATGCGGGGTTTTTTGTACCACTGTCATGCAACGGCACTGTTATGGATGGTACATGAAATTGTACTATTTAATCATAGTGGTGCTGCTTTATACCACTTTAGAAACATGGAATTACCATTTCAATTTTGTCCCTTTTGCCCAATTTTTACACCATGATTTGGTTTATCTTTTTGCCCAATTTTTACACCATTGATAGTGGTACTACAAATGAAGAGTATATGTACCACATTAGTTATGATAGTGCAAAAACCGCATGTTATGTACTGCTTTCCAGACATGGTTTAACCCTTTTTATTATCTTTGGTTGTCAAAGAAGCTACCATGAGTGACTAGGAAGTGATTGAATTAGAAGGGCAACTTAACAAGTTGTACTCAGAGATATCCGAACTCGCTGGGCAGGGGAAGAAATTGGTAGATGAAGCAGAACAGGTTAAAGCAGTACATGCGGCTAAGCTGAAAGAAGCAGAAAAGGTTAAAGCAGTACATATGGCAAAGCTGGAAGAAGCGAGGGTATTATGGGCCCGTTTGAGCCAGCTCCTGGATCAGCGTATTGCACGCGTTCAGAGTGAAATTGTTGCTAGCCGTTCATCGCCAGGATTTGCCGGAAATGACACTAATGTTGGGAATGAGCCACCTGTTGAGAGGACTTTCGAGGAGGACATGGGTACTTCTGTGGCTGTTTGTGGTGCTCATGATGGTAATGGTGATGAGGAGATGGGAGACCAGAACCAGGAGGGCATTGTTGAGGATGAGGATGAAGATGATGAGGACGACGACGATGAGAAGGACGATGATGAGGATGACTGGTTTCGTGTTATTATGATTGTCGTAGTTAAATTAGTATTGTAACGTGGTACGTTAGTTGAAATGGTGTGGCCGTGTTGATACCCAGGGATGTTTTAAAAACAGTAAAGTCTACGATAGTGGTACATTTTTCGTTTCAATAGGTAAAATGGCGTGACAACCTACGTTGAGTTACAAATAACCAGTCCGGTGATGTCGACGGCCTTGTACGACGCAGGTATTGGTACCACCATTATTATTATGTCACTGAAGAGAACTCTAGTTACATGAATGGGTTGTGATTACAACATGAATAGTCAAAAAAGGTTTATGTGTCCGAATTAGGACATTATTCATTTTTCATTGTCCCATACTTACATAACATTGCAAATTCTACTCTTACAATACAAACGAATTTCGCACAAGGATTAAGCATATCTTAGTGGTACATTTAAAAACGTAAACATGTACCATTAATTATTATATGCATGCGTAAGTGAGAAATGGCAATTTCCAAGAGTATTCGCGCCGGAATCCTAAATATATGCGCTTAACATTCACATTTATTATTCATCATCATCATTATCACTTCTCCCAACCCATCACTTCCACTCCCCATGCAGACTACTTACATGATGCAAACATTTTATTTAAAAAAATGTAACAATCTGATGTATTTAGTTTAATTACTCTAATTGAAATATAGTAAACTAATTGTAATAAGTTTAATCACTGTAATGTATCATCAGAATCATTTGATTCTTTATGTTAATGGTTCGAGCAAAATATTTCCCCGTTTCAGTATTTGCAATCTTGTCATTGAATTTTTCCTTTTGTCATAGGACAAATTATTCCGTTTGAATTATGTGTTAGATATATTAATAACCTACCCTTTCCATCTACAAATCTTGGACTAGTGGTACGTTTATCGGTTAATATATGTACCATTAATTATTATGTGCATGAGTAACTTCTAATTGGCAGTTTCCAATAAATCCTCGCCGGATGTTTGAATATCCCCCAGTAATTCTATGAACCGCCATCATCATCAAAACTCCCAACCCACTACATCCGATCCCATGCATGAAGGAAAACCGTCTTGTGGAAGTCTATTTATATGTCAAACAGTTTTTGCAAAAAACTTAACTTCCTTCTATTCGAACAAAGCGATCTCCCTCTGTAAAAAATTTAAAATGGATGTAGAAGCGAAAAGAAAATTCTCACCTTCTATGGTTGACATCCTTCCGCCAGAAGTGTTGGCGACCATTCTAAGTTGCGTTGCTAGGTCATCTCCTGCTGATTTATTTCGGTGCAAATTAAGGTACGCTTATACTTGAAAAATGTACTTTGTTATGTTCTCTGTTTCTCATCCTATACACATAGACTGTAGTAATCTAATTTCTGCCGTATAACTTGATAAAAGTTGTAAAACCTGTGACTGATAGCCGAAGAAAAGGGGGTCGTTCAACAAATTCACCTCCCCTAGGTTAAAGCACGGATATCAGGTATAAGCCAAAATAAGGTGAATATGTTCTGGAAATAGTGCGTGCAGAATGAACATCCCGAAGCTCTGCTTGAGTATGGATTTGTACATCTTCTTTTTTTTATTATTGGGAATTTTTTTCGTTAGAAATTATATTTATGTTTGTAGACTTCTTGTAACTGTTTTACCATGTCTCTTTACTGTAGCGACAATTCTTCAACTACATGGCGGTCGACGAAGGAGTGACGACGTTGGTAAGAGCAACTGAGTTGCAAAATTCGATGGCAGACTATGTACTAAGCCTCATATACATATACACTGGAAAAGAAGAAAGTGGTGTAAGGATTTTGGAGAAGACTAACAACCGCATCGGATCTGCAGGGATAGTCCAGCGCAGACATAGGTTATGTGAGTTGGCAAGTGACAATTGGATGCACAATCATATGATTTTACATTATGATCCAAAGCCGAACATATTCTGCAAACAAAAATTACAGCACGAGAAGAACTTAAACCCATGGGATCGCCTTTATGACGAGGATGCGAAAAGTACAATAACCTGTATGACTTGTAAATGCCTTAGGGAGATAAGCGTATTTTATTATCTACTGCAAAGCCGACTCACCGGTCGTGTGCGACGCATATCTGTACCACCCTAGTATTTGTACCACACTAGTTAGGGGATGTAAACATTCTCCTACGACTCTAGTATTTGTACCACCCTGGTTGTTTGTAATTTACTTTCTTTTACAATTGTTCATTCAGGATTTTCAATTGTATTTTAATATGGGGGTACAGCTGTTGTCTTATTGGTACCCTGGATCACATAACAAGGCGTACCACAATCTTGACACGTTTGATTGGCAAAAAGGTTTAACAACCTTCTTCGATTATAAGTCAAAATTGAATGACTAAGATTTAGTCACTTAGAGAACTATACTGTTGGTACATGTAGGTGTTGAATGAACCCGCTCATTGCCGTCGAAGGTTTTCAACAATGCTCTACGGTGATCGTAAATATCCAAAGTCCTAAATTACAAATCACTAAGTTTCTAGTGTACTACTTATTAATTAGTAACTTCACTAGAAATTATTTATTAGTAAGTTGGGTAGGTGGGTGATGTAAACGTTATCCTACGACGGTGGCAATTTTCCACCCTGGTTATTAACAATCCATTTCCTTTTTGTAGCTGTTCATTGCCATATGATCAGAGTTTAGAAAAAACGATTTTGATGGACATTTCGGGTGACAAGAAATATAGTTAACTAATTCTAATACGTTTAGTTACTCGAATGTATCACCAGAATCATTTGATTTTTTTGGGTTAATGCTTCGAGCACAAAACGAATTTGTATCAATAACTATATACTAAAAGACACACAAGCAACGACACGTGTCATCTCCTGCCGTGTTATTTTGACTTTTTCCCTTTAAAAAAACTATTAGTTAAGATAACAAATCATTTACAAAAATAATATTATGTTTTGTACATATTTTATGTTACAAAAATGGTCAGATTTTTTAAAATAATCTTATATTCTTAAAATAATCTGTGACCTGATTTACAACAAGAAAAAAGAATGCTCAGATTTTTTTGCCTATTTTTGTTTCAAATGTGTATTAGATGCTACAATTAAAAAATGCAAATACCAAATCAACCTATCACATACTTATTTCTGGACTAATTTATGATTATAATATTTATCAATTAATAATGTATAACTATATATAACAATAAATCCCTCAAAAAAAAAATTTACCTAGTAATTCCCAAAGACTGACATTATTTTTCCCATTGGAAAAAAGAATTAAATTTACGTGATAAATATATTAATAAATTTACGGCTTAGATATATACCATAAATTATAAATCTCCCCCACTAATTCAATTTTCAACCATCATCATCACAACTCCTAAGTCCACTACATCCAATCCCAAGCATGAAGATGATCCGTCACTGATAAATCTATTTATATGTCAAACAGTTTTGGGAAAAAAGTCACTTCCGTCTGTACGAACAAAGCGATCTCGGATCTGCCAATCTCAAAAAAAAAAAAAAATGGATGTAGAAGCGAATACCGCTACAACCTCTATGGTTGACATCCTTCCGCCAGAAGTGTTGGCGACCATTCTAAGTTGCGTTGCTAAGTCATCTCCTGCTGATCTATTTCGGTGCAAATTAAGGTAGTCTTGTACTTGCAACATGTACTCTGTTCTCATCATATACACAGAGAATGTAATAATCTAATTTCTGCCGTATCACTTGATAACAGTTGTAAAACGCTGCGACGGATATCCGAAGAAAAGGGGGTCATTCAACAAATTCACCTCCCTTGTATTGAAGCACGAGAGTTGACGCCACACCAAGAAGCAGCGGAGAAGTTCTTGGTCAAGTGCGTGGAGAATGAACATCCTGAAGCTCTTCTTGAGTTTGGATTTGTACGTCTCCTTTCTCAATTATTGGGAACTTTATCAGTAAATATCTGTTACTCACTATGTGAAACGGTTATGTTTTCCAAAGTGGCAGTTTTATAAATCAAATGTACCACCAATACTAAAGTGGTATAATTTTATCATCCATTTCCTAAATAATATGTATCACCGCAACTGCAGTGGTAGTTTTCGAATTGTAATTGTTAGAATTTATGTTGCAGACTTATAGTCAGTGTTTTATTATTTCTCTTTAATGTAGCGACAATACATCAACACCATGGTGTTGGACGAAGGATTGACGATGTTGGCAAGAGCAAATGAGTTGCACAATTCGACGGCAGCATATGTACTAAGCCTGATATACATATACACCGGTGAAGAAGAACGGGGTGTTAAGCTTTTGAAGAAGACTATCAACAGCATCGAATCCGTGGGGATGGTCCAGTGTAGAAGGAAGTTACGTGATATGGCGAAATATAATGTGATGCGCAATCATATGATTTTACATTATTTGCCAAAGCCGAAGATATTCTGCAAACATAAACTAGAGCACGAGAAGAACTTAAACTAATGGGAGCTTCTCTATGACGCGGATGCGGAAAGTACAGTAACTTGTATGACTTGTAAATGCATCAGGGAAATATGCGTATTTTATGAAATACTAATTGGTGAACTCACCGGTCCTGTGTACATATGATCTGTGTTAATGAACTTTCTTTTTCAAACCGGTGGATTATGATTCCTCTAAGTATATACAATGTGCAAATGCTCAGGAATATATATACAGACCCTATGTTGAATAGAAAACATATGTTCTCTCTCACCAGGCATAAGATGAAAATGTACACCGTAAGTTACCCGGCATATGATGAAAATGTACACCGTAAGTTACCCGGCATAAGCTTTATTTGCCTAGCACTCTAGCAATAGCCGCGTACTAAAGAAAACAAATCAAATGCAGTATATTTCTATTTCCTAAGCTACAACATCCAAATTACCTAGGAATTACTGACAACCCAAAGTCCCAAACCCTCTCCTTCTTTTATGACATTTTAAATAATTGTCAACACAGTTGATAACTATTTTCATTTTTTTTCAAGGTTGCAATTCAATTCCAACTTCCAATTGATAAATCAATTATTAATTAATTTGTAGTTTGTATGATCTATGACTGTACTTCTAGTCCTTTTTTTAATTATTTAAAAAAAAAACTTAATTTTCAATTTTTTTTAATTTTTTTTAATATGATTTCTATGCTACACAAGTATTGATCAGTTAAAGCACTAAAAAACAAATTGTTATTTTTAGGTGACAAGTCGTTATGAAGGATTCAAATTCAATAATTTAATTGATTAAAAATATAGAGTACTTTTTTGCCTTTGGTATGTCGTTCTTTATTTCTACTAATGATAGAAATTATTGGCCCCAGAAACAAAAGGTTTCAAGATCCGCCACTGACCGTAACCACGTCAAATATCAATACGTGTAACAAAGTTTCCAATGGTACAGTACATCAACAAAAACTCTACCACTGAATCATGAGCAAATAACAATCTCTTGTACCCCCCTAAACAATGTTGTATGTTCGTGTCTAAAGTGTTACAAAAATCATCCACATAAATTTCAAAAGTACAAATACCAGAAAAACGTAGTTTCACACTTGAGCGACTAGGAAAAACAACTAGTAACTGTATGAAGTTTAATGTGTGACAATTAATACGTTTTTGCCAAAAAGAATACAAAGATACTTATAACTTCTAGGGGTTGTCAGTACTTTAATTTCTGAAGTGATCTTCTTAATTTAATTATTTTTCAAACCTAATTGTGTTTTCTTTCTTAAATTGTCTCTCTTCTTAGTGATTTTATTCGTGATCTTAACTCATCCATTAGTGATCGTAGCTGTTTTTTTAACATAGAAACTAAAACAGTCGTCTTAAAGTACAGGTTTAATTGACATCAATTACAGTCGTTCACAAATCAAAATTGCAACACCAACGGTACGTGCCTACGTATAAGATTTTGCGTGTGTGTCAATTTTAAATATATGGGTATGGGGGCGTCACAAAGTCGTATCTATCTGAAACGCAAAAACTTTAGACAGTTTGACATTTGACAATGACCTTACACTGCCAGAGTTCACGTGAAGCAATACTTGATGTGCTACTTCACTATTTCGCACTGAAATGGTCATACAGTTTCTCCGTTAATCTCCCATATTTTTTCACATTCGAAACTCGGGAATTAGGAATTACCAAAAACATAAATGTCTGATCCAAATAATCAAGCATTGTCACCTTCAATTGTTAATCCTTCATTCTCCTACCCTCATTAATTTCAATATCTTCCCTCTAACCCTTCTTCCTCACTTCATAATTATGGTTACATTCCGAGTTTTGGAGCACAACCCGTTTATTCGGATGCGGCTGCTGCTTCAACAAATTGGGTTCTAAAACAATCTGCCCCTCTTACTTATTCTGTGGTATGTTTTCGATTTCTTTCAAATCCGGATATGGTTTTTTCTATTTTTAAATGGAATTTAAGGTTTATGTTAGAGTTTTATCTGTTCATCATAACAAATGTACTCAACTATGGGTAGTTACATAGCTTAGGTAAAATAACTTCACCCTTGTCTCCTTCTAGTGAATCTAATTTTCTGAATTGTGTATTGTAATATTATCATCATTTCCTTTTTTTTCTAAATATTAATTACTACACTATAATTTTTTAAATTTTCTGACATTAATGTTTGTGAATGTCGAATCACTGTATTTTGTTTACTTCTGATTTTTTTTCCCCAATATTCTGGAATTTTTCCTGACAACCGGATTGTACAGATAAGCAAAGTCGAGCAACCATGATGCGATGTTTGCATGATCGGGTGCACAAGCAATGATGATCTTACGATGCATTTGGGGGGAAAGAAACACCAAAAGAGCTTACGAAAGCTCCAGCACCCTATTCCCTTGAATACTCCAACCAAAGCTGCTGCTAAAACACCAGTTTCAATGAGTTACAATGCACAACAGAACCTTTCAAAAATAAGAAAAGTCGAGCAACCATGGTGTGATGTTTGCAAGATCAGGTGCACAATCAATGATGATATTAATATGCATTTACGAGGAAAAAAACACCTAAATAGCTTACGAAAGTTGTACAACCCCTGCAATTAATAATTTCTCCACTATTGCTACGTGCCGTTAATCATGTGCGGTGTACTACTCACGACAGATGAACTCAGTGTTATCCCTCACCCGGCTAAGCTCTTTCTGATTGTATAATATTTATCTATTTGTCTATTTTTAAACAATATCTGGATATAAGCTATTTTGTGGCACTTTAATCTATTCTTTTCCATTGTTTCTCATCATAAGAGGTATTGTACCACCCAAATTACAGTAGTACAAATGTTATCGTAGTTGTTAAATGTGCAGTAGATCTTGTACCACTAGATTACAGTGGTACTAAATTTCCAACTAATGTCCCACCTTGAAAAATGTCGTACGTTCCGTTCTTAAGCACGGACAAAATTAAAAGGGTCACACCATATTTCGGGGATCTTTTGTACCACCGTGATAAAAGTGGGATAATTTTATATCCAACCTGAACAATTTAGTATGTTCGTATCGAAAGGGGTACAAAAATCACCCAAATGCATAAGTAAACATAATGTTTTAGGTAATCATAATGTTTTAGGACAAATTTGGAGATTAATTGTAATCAGTTATTTAGGTTATCATAATGTTTTGCTTGAAACCAACCGTGATTTGTGTACTAATGCGATTAGTTTAATTTACTACTAAATATTTTACGAGTATATCTTCTGATAGTATTTGTTATGAAACCTTTCCGATTTTCAAATATGGCAGTAAATAGAGTTTTGAAATTCTTTTGGGAATAATAACTTGTTATATTTTTGGTAACACCTTTTATATTCTCAAAGGTATATAGTAACCTTCTTTCACGCCTCCGTATTGGCAAATGCATGCAGATGTACTTAATGTCTTCATCCATTGAATTTTCAAATCGCAACTCGTCACTCCACCTTTTTACATTCTCAATCCTATTAAACCGTCACTTCATCCATTGAATTGTCAAAGCACAACACTGCACCACATGTTTTCATCTTCTTACTCCTCTTAAACCGTCACGTCACAGATTTTGCAAAGAAATTTAACTTCTTTCTATTCGAACAGAGCCATCTCCCCCCTCTAAAAAAATAAAAAATGGATGTAGAAGAGAATAGGACAAATTTTACAGCTTCCATGGTTGACATCCTTCCGCCAGAGGTGTTGGCAACCATTCTTAGTTGCGTTGCTAGGTCATCTCCTGCTGATTTATTCCGGTGTAAATTAAGGTACGCAAGATATCCTTGCATTATGTACTTTGTTCCTCATCATATATACACAATGACTGAAATAATCCAATTTCTTCCTTATAACTTGATAATAGTTGTAAAACCCTGCGACAGATAGCCGAAGAGAAGGTGGTCCTTCAACAAATTTACCTCCCATGGATTAAAACACGAATGTCATGGAACCCCCCGTGACACCGACCACAGACAAAAATGTTCTGGATAAAGTGCCTGAAGAATGAACATCCTGAAGCTCTGCTTGAGTATGGATTTGTATGTCTTCTTTCTCGTTTATTGTGAATTTTGTTCGGTAGAATTTTTGTTGCAGATTTGTAGTAACCGTATTATCATTTCGTTTTACTGTAACGTCAATACTTCGCCTTCATGGCGGTCGAACATGGATTGACGACGTTGGTAAGAGCAACTAAGTTGCACAATTCGATGGCGGCATATGTACTAAGCCTCATATACACATACACCGGACAAGAAGTAAGTGGTGTAAGGCTTTTGGAGAAGACTATCAACCGCATCGGATCTGCAGGGATAGTACAGTGCAGACATAGGTTATAAGAGTTGGCGACTGACAATTGGATGCGCAATCATATGATTTTACATTATGATCCAAAGCCGAACATATTCTGCAAACAAAAACCACAGCATGAGAAGCACTTAAACCCGTGGGATCTTCTCTATGACGAGGAAGCGGAAAGTACAATACCTTGTATGACTTGTAAATGCATTAGGGAAATAAGCGTATTTTATGAAATACTAATTGGTCATCTCACGGGTCCTATCTACCAATGATCTGTATTAATGAAATTTCCTTTTCAAACCCTTTGATTATGATTGTTAACTTTGTGTTCAGGTGACACATAATGATATGTTTCACATTTCGTAAAACCCCACAGAGATATATTGTATTTTACCATATAGCTGTATTTGAAAAGGTATTCCTGGTTATTGATAATCCATTTCCTTTGTAGTGATACATTCTATAAATAATTTTTGTACCACCGCCACGCCGATTGTACCTAATTTGTCTTAGTGGTACCCTGAGCATGTCACACTCTATTTCTCCGTTATGTTGTTCAGGGGGTTTTCCATGTGACTGTGTTAAAAGATGTTGATGATGGTGATGATGGTAACTAAGAAATCATTTGTCGATTGAGATCTTGTGTTGGTTCATGGTTTACGTAGCTTTTCATAACCTAGTTTTAATT